CCCTAATAGCTGTACAATTTCACCAGCCTCATTACCTTTTTTTTAAATCAGTAATTTTCTTAGTTTCTAAGCATAAGCAAAGGACTTTTTGTTTCACAAATAGAATTATTTTAAATTCTAAGAGTAAACTGGTATTTATAATGAAAAGTATTTTATTTCCAATAATAGCAATGATAAAAAAAATTCTAAAATAAAGACTAATGGGTAATATTCCTTAAATCACTTTTACTTTTTTTACTTTCTAGAAGATCACAGCTACATCAGGGTTATTATAAATCTTGTGCCTACAGTAGTTAAATTTAATAATTAGTATACAAAGCACACGTTTTCAGTTCTGGATGGACATCAAGATCAATTATAAAGGTTATTTAGATTTATAGACTTTGGCCCTAATCCAGACACTATAAATCAAAAGTACTGGAGCGATAGCACAGCTGGTAGGGCGTTTGCCTTGCACGCAGCCAACATGGCCGACCCGAGTTTGATTCCTCCGCCCCTCTCAGAGAGCCTGGCAAGCTACTGAGAGTATCTTGCCTGCACGGCAGAGCCTGGCAAGCTACCTGTGATGCATTTGATATGCCAAACACAGTAACAAGTCTTACGATGGAGATGTTACTGGGCCCGCTCGAGAAAATTGATGAACAACAGGAGGACCGTGACCGTGACCGTGACTGTCTACAAACTAGTAAGAGAGCTACTAATTTAGCAATACACTTCCCATCTGTATCAATATATATCCCATTTGATTCCATTTCATCATTATACAGGTTATTGGATTTTATCTCCCTTTGTAAGATCTTGGGATCACCATGAGGGTTTCAATCAACTCCAATTACTTTCTAAATGCACACTGGGGTTTTAGAGTTTCAATATATAATAAGGGAAACATATACAAACAGTCCCCAACAAGAAGAAAATACTCCTAAAAATTCCATGCTCTAGCATTCTGAATAAAGTCTTATGTTTAGCACTTATCTGATTCTATCTAAAGTTTCTAATAAATAATTCAATCAACTAACAGCTGATTTCATGAAGACTGAAGGTTGTGTTTGTTTCTAGGATTACCAATTAAATTTTATCTGAGATTAACCAAAAAGATTTTGATGGGGGGAGGTAATGGGGGGTTAGGAATAGAGCCACTCCTGCACTGTGTTAGGAATAGAGCCACTCCTGCACTGCACCTTAGCCACTGTGCTAAGGGCTTACTCCTGGCTCTGTGCTCAGAGATCACTACTGGGAGTGCTCAGGAGACCAAAATGGTATAAAATACTCAAACCCAGGTTGGCTGCATTGCAAGACAAGCACCTTACCTGCTGTACTATCTCTTTGGTCCCAATCAAGGCATTTGTGCTATTTAAATCAAAACATTTAGGCTAACATTCTTCAAATGTCCAATGAAAAGATAATCACTTCACTTAATCACTTAACTTCCCATTAGTCGTTGATTTGCTCAAGCAGGCGCCAGTAACGTCTCCATTCGTCCCTGTCGAGTGCCAGTGTAGTCCAATGGCATCTGTTTGCTCTGGGAACATGAAGAGCCTCAAACCGATCGTTCATGATCTTGATGAAGAAGTCTGACCATCTGGTAGGTGGGCAGCCACGTGGTCTTTTGACATCCCATGAGATCCAGTCGGTAACAGCTCTAGTCCAGCGGTTGTCTTTAAATCTCATTACGTGACCAGCCCATATGATTTTTGACACCTTGGCAAATGAGACAGCATCCCTGATTCTTGATCGTCGACGGATGTCGGAACTCCGGATTCTTTCTCTCATTTGAGTGAAACGTGATATTCCAAGCATAGATAGCTCTTTCAATTCCTCTTTGGGAGAACTGAATAGCATTCTCATCCTGTTTATGTAGGGTCCAGGTCTCTGAGGCATATGTTAATGCAGGAAGAACAGTGGAATCAAAGAGATGTGCCCGGAGCCGGAGGTTCTTCGTCCTCTTAGCTATTTCTTCGACGTTCTTGAAGGTGTTCCAAGCTGCTCTCTTCCTCCTGTGCAGCTCAGGTGCCATTTCATTTGTCATGTTGACTTCTCGACCTAGGTACACATAGCTGTTGCACTCGAAGATGGTCATTCCCTTGAGAGCGAATGGGGCATCAGGAACGAGGCTGTTTCTCATAAACATTGTTTTCTTAAGATTCAGCTGTAGTCCTACCTTTCCACACTCACGGTCAAAGTCGGCCAGCATTTGTGCCGCTTGGCTGATGTTTGGTGTTATTAAAACAATGTCATCAGCAAAGCGGAGGTGGTGTAGTTGCCGACCATCTATCTTCACTCCCATTCCTTCCCATTCCAGTTGTCACATGATGTTCTCGAGTGTGGCACTGAAGAGTTTCGGTGAAATGGTATCACCCTGCCGAACCCCTCTCTTGACATCACTGATTACTTCTTTGTAGAATGGTGAGATCCTGGTAGTGAATCCGCAATACAGCTCACGAAGGATCTTGATGTATTGGGCTTGAATGCACTGATTGGCTAGGGCTTCAATGACCGTTTCCGTCTCAACAGAATCAAAGGCCTTCTTTAAATCAATGAAAGACAGTCATAGGATATGGTATATGCTTTATTTAAAAAAAAAAAAAAGGACCAGGGCATTTGTACAGTGGGTAGGGTGTTTGCTTTGCATACAGCCAACCCAGGTTTGATCCCCGACATCCCATATGGTCCCCTGGGCACCGCCAGAAGTAATTCCTAAGTGCAGAGCCAGGAGTAACCCCGGAGCATCACCGAGTATGACCAAAAAAACAACAAAAAAATCAAGCCTCTTTTTCCTCTTCTTTTACGTCAGTATAAGGACCACAATACCATCTCTAAATCATGATTACACTTTAAGTGTTTTTACTCAATAAATCACATGATGATTAAGATGTCAACAAAGACTAAACAAGAGAAATATACATATATATAATAAGTACGAATTTTCTAGTCAGAATATTCTATTTTAAATAGTTCTAGAATTTTATTACTAATTAAGTCAGTTAGCATAAGACAGCAACATAGAAAAAAAAATGAAGCACTCAAAAAATTTTCTCTTCCTCCCACACTCCTGTTCTTCATAGAAATTACTCTCATCACCTATAACTAAAAGAAATCGTAGCATGTTAGTAATTTCTTATACAAGGTAATGGTTCCAGGGTGAAATACAAGAATCTTCACACACTTTTCTCTAAGGAGATCTTTTTTGAATCATTTTTAGTGAATTATTCAAATCATTTTTAGTGGATTACTCATAACAAACAATACAAAATAAATTATTTATGTCCTGCTTTGGGGGCAGGGTCTGGGGTTTGGGATGGAAACATTCGAAATATGGTGGTGGGATTGGTGTTGGAATATTAAATGTAACAAATCATTGTGAACAACTTTATGAAAATTAAATTACATTTTAAAAAACTGAAAAGGCTATAACCGATATTTAGCTGAAATAAATGGCAATCACAGCACTGTATTTAGAATGAAAGCACCCAATATGAAAAAAATAATGCTCACTAAAAGATCATTAAAAGTACTTCTTATAATTAAGGAGGTATTTAAATTTTTTTTCTGAGAGTTTATATTAAAATATTTTCAATTTCATGTACTTCAAATTTGTACCAGAGTAAATACTTTATATTATAATATTAGAGAACATAAACATATACTCTCTGGTCAAACAATATATATATATATACATATATATTTGAAATTTATTTATTCCTGAGAACAGGCATAGTGAAAAATAGGTTTTTTAAAATTACTTGACTAGTCTCAGAAACTTTGTTTCACTACAACTGACAACTTTTGTTATGAGAAAAAAAATTAAATGATTTTAATCATTTGAATTTAAATGATTTACTTCCTAAGTATTGCATTTACCCTATTATGTATTTGGTATTATCTGACAGGATTAAAAACAAAAAAGAAATCACTGCTACTGTTTTAAATCAGAAGAGTTCTCAAAGAATGGTGAACAGGGTCAACAGAAGTAGGAACAGAAACACCATCTGAGAAATTGTTAGAAACATTATTTCCCTATCCCCACCCTATTTACTGAATTAGAAACTCTAGCATTAACCCAACAATGTGTGTTTTCATAGTTTCTTCATATAATTTTGATGGATGCTAAAGTTTGCAAACCATTATCTTAGAAAATGGCATGGTTTTACCTACTTCTTGGCATTTTTTTATTTCTTAATTTTGCCCACTCAAAAGATTTTCCATTTGAATGATAAATTCACAATTAATTTCATGATTTGATAGTTCCCTTTCAAAATGTAAAGCTGACTTTTAAAAAACCCAGGTTGAAGTATTATCTCTTATTCTTAAATTATAAGTTTATATAGAAAATGATGTTCTACAAGTTAATAGATATAACAGTAATCCTATCTAAAAACCACTTTCCAGATAGGCTCACTTTTCTTACATCCCCTCTTGAACTGTATGTAATAAACATTATAGAGGAATTTTTAAGTGAATCACTACCTATCAAACAATTTACAATGAAAAAATTATTTCAACAAAATTATTATTGCTTACAAAAATATGTTCATTGACACTTATGTAAACTTTGAAAGTATTTTTAAAGAAACATAAAATACACAATATGGATCTTCCCTACAAGCAAATCACCCTATTAGGTGTAATCCAAAATCTAACTAATAATACTTGTAAGACTATTACAAGTAAACTGGTCAATACATACTTTTTAAGAATTATTATATGGAAATTTAAATGAGAACTTTCACAGAAATAGTCTGTGGAAATGCAGAGTAAAAGTGGTAATTTTTAGATATTATATATATATAAATGAACAAGTATGCACATCAGTTTCTTAAATGCTAATAATGACAATACCAATAACAAAGCAAAAGAATCACAATCACCTCAAAAGAAAGTATTTTGGTTTCTGAGAAATATATTAAGACCATAATAAATTCATTTGGCACTAAAAGAACTCTGCTTTCAGAAATCACATGATGGTTTCCAGCCAGACAATGATGGAGTGTCTTACTCACCTATGTACATAATGCAGTTGATGAACAGAATCAATTGCTATCACCATCTCTGCCAAGTAAAATCGAGCCATATCTTCAGGCAATCTATCTTCAAATTTGCTGAGCAGTGTAAGTAAATCTCCACCAACATAATAATCCATAACCAAGTACTGGAAACAAAAATAAAATCTACTTAACAAATAATAAGAAAATGAATATATTTAATATACCTATTGTCAAATAACACTGGGGCAAATATTTTGTTAATATACAAGAAGCTATGTCAGACTATAAGGAGTAGTTATTAAAATTCTTATAAATTCATAAAATTATAAATAAAATTTTTAATAACTGGGGCAAGGAATAACAGGATTTTCATAGTTTTGTTGTATTTTGTTACATGAAAAAATGTAATATCATATACAAGAAAGATGTTTCACCAACATTTAATAGAATAATAAATATTTAATTCTCTAAGACGTAAAAAATGATTAAAGAAATTCAGACTATTAAAGAGCTCAATATGTTAGATTCACCTTCATCACCATTACATTTTCCGAGTTCACCTTGGACAAGGAACAATGCTATTGTAATTACTGCTTAGACCCAGTAGCTGAAAATCACTGTGTATAAGATAAATAATTCCCACCACATATTTCTATTCTCATATCTGATAGCTACAAATATAAAAATGAACTTAAGAAATTCTTAAGTATATATAAAAAGAAGCCACTTAATTTCAGATAGAGATTCATAGGGAGAAGTATGTAATACTGTTGATTTACTACAAGAAATTTTATTTTGGGAAATAGCATAACCAACTCCCCCCAAACCTTTGGAATTTACTAAAAAAGAATAATACCTTTCAAGCACACTTAATATTAAGTTCTGGAAAGTCCCCAGTGACCAAAGGATGGGTGCTGGTTGTCAGATAAACCAACCATAATTAGAGGGTTGAAACTTTCAGTCCCAACTCTTAATCTTCATTAAATAAAGGGGACTGGACACCTGTTGTCATATTTATAACCCTAATTTAATCCTGTAAAAATAATATGAAAACATTTTAAAAAATACAAACCAGGGGCTGGAGCGATAGCACAACAGGTAGGGTGTTTGCCTTGCATACGGCCGACCTGGGTTCGATTCCCAGCAATCCATATGGTCCCCTGAGCACCGCCAGGAGTAATTCCTGAGTGCAGAGCCAGGAGGCAACCCCTGTCTACTTCTGGGTGAGACCCAAAAAGAAAAAAAAAATACAAACCAATTCAGAAAGTTTCCAGTTTGTAAACACAAGAGTGCTGGATATAGCGCTTACTAGGAGAAATGGGGACAGACTTCAGGAGTACAGCAATAGCCTTGTATATGTGAAATCCTGGGTTTAATGCCCACCATCCCATATGGTCCCAAGCACCCCATATGGTCTTTCAAGAACCAAAAGAAGTAATTTCTCAGTGTAGAGAGAGGAATAATCTCTGAGCATTCCCAAGCGTGGCCCCAAAACAAAACAAAAACAAGAAACAAAAAAAACTCAAATCCCAACTTCTGCTGTTTGCATGAGATCCACTTGAAATTTTTATTAACAGAGGCTCAGAATAAAAGGTTAAACAACAATGATATAGGCAAATGTTAGCTTAAAAAGGAAAGGAACAACTGTACATCAGGTAAAATACATTTCAAAGTAAAACGAAACAGGGATAAACATTATGCAATGATTAGGCATGAATTACCTAAGAACTTAACACTAACTAGCATGCAGGCACAAAGGAATGGTATCCAATATATAAAGCTAGAGGATCGAACAGACATTGAACAGAGAAATAGTAGAAAACCTTAACACCCTATTCTTACACTGAAGAAATTGACTACAAGAGTAACAAGAAACAACATCCTAATGACAAGTTGAAGAGCATAATTTTTAATAGACATTTATAGGAATCTCCACCTACAAAAATCAAAAATACGTTTTTTTCTTTTGATTCTAAATCACACATGATGATACTCCAGACCTACTTCTAGCTCTGTTTTCAGCAGCTGCTCTCGTGGTACCCCAGGCACCATGCATTACCAGGGATCAAACTCAAGCTTCACACAAAGCATTCATTCACCCCTAAACTTTTTTCTGGAATGCACACAGAACATTCTCCAGTAAAGACCACAAACTGGGATACTAAATAAGGGTCTGCAAAGTCACAAATATTAAAATAATATCAAGGAATTTCAGATCACAGTGCTATGAAGGTGGAAACTAAACATAAACAGCACAATGGAGATAATCTGAAAGATTTGGAAACCAAATAGCATGCTACTGAATAACAATTGTTTAAAAACAAAAAGAAACAAAATAACTCCTGGAAACATAAATGAGACTGAAGATACAAGTCCTCAGATCATGAGACAAAACAATTAACAGTACTAAGAAGTTTATAGCAACAAATAGTTATGTCAGAAAACAAAAGGGCTAAAATAAGTAAATTAACCTCACCTCCTAAGGAACTAGAAAAACACAAACAAAACCTAAAAACAGAAGAAAATTATAAAACAAAAAATTTAAAAAAACAATACAGTGCCAGCAAGAGTGCTCAATGAACTAGAGTGCATGCTGTAATCCTAAATTGGATCCAATACAAAATGCAATCCCCAAGCACCACCAGGAGCAACCCCAAGCACTGAACTGGGATCGGTCCCAATGCACTATCATGTGTAAACCAAAAAATACATAGACAAATATTCAATAAAATGAAGACTTTAGGGGCTGGAGCAACAGCACAGAGGGTAGGGTGTTTGCCTTGCATGCGGCCAACCCGGGTTCGATTCCCAGCATCCCATATGGTCCCCTGAGCATCGCCAGGAGTAATTCCTGAGTGCAGAGCTAGGAGTAACCCCTGAGCATCGCCGGGTGTGACCCAAAAATTTAAAAAAAAATGAAGACTTTAAAAAAAAAGTTGACAATATTTAGCAAGAAAGACAAGACTGACAACCCTTAGCTGGAGTCACAAAGAGAAGGAATTGGCACTGACTTTCTGCTTGCTGCTCCACCATTCCAAATGAGGTTTGCCTCCCCTTGCTATCACTGGGTCTATTCCAGAAGGGGAGGTAGAACCCATCCCTACTGGGTGGATCTCAGCAGCCTCCACACCTGATCTGCACCATATTAAGGAACTATACCACAGCTCCTGAAGCACACAGCCACTGAAGCAGCCACACAATAGATGTACTAAACAAATTATGATCTCAGAGCACCAATAGCCCTGGTCTAGAAACACAGCAGCGAGACCCAGAAGAGACCACAGCTCTAGAGATCTCTCTGGGCCTCATACCACGTTGATTTCACAGGAGTACCCCAGATAGAGCAGATACACTCTCCCTGCCTACTCCAGATGGAATCCTGGAAGGCCTTCCTCAAGCAAGGCCCAGGTATGTGGGTTCCAGGACTAAATCTCTAGGTTGCATGGCAGCAGAGGAGCCAGGCTGTCCCTCCCCAGATCTCCACCCACCCACCAGTCTGGCTGTCATGCCCACAACCCGCCTCCGGGCGTCATCTTAGCATACCAACAGCCCGGGTCCAGAGACTCCCAATTGAATCCCAAAATGGATTAGAGTCCTACAGAGATATCTCTGGAACCCAACCATTTACAATGTAGAATTCCAGATGTAGTGCCCCACCAAGGGACTGGATGTACCCAGTGCAAGCTACCCTGGTATAGAAATGGGCCTGGCCAAAGTGCCATAATACTTAACTGTAAGTTAAGAGCATGGTCATGGACAAATTCTGTCATGATCCAAAAAGTAATAACTATATTCGAACCCTGCTAGGGTTAGGAAAGATTAATCTGGCCTGAGCTCCGTAGTCTGAGATCTATAGCGAGATGTCCCCAGGAGAGCGACCCTACAAGCCTAAGATATATCTCTTACTGTGTCCATGAAAAATAAAAAATATTAGAAAGTAGAATTAAGACGTTAAGTTACTGGTCTAAGGGGAGGAGAAACACTCCTTAAGTGTTGTTTTGCCCTCGAGGGCTGTTAGTGGTCAGGAAGGCTTTAAATATGTTGACTGCACTTCCTGAGAAGTTGAAAAAATGAGGAGGTGTGGTTAAAAGAGATGGTAGAAGTGGAAGCTGAGCCAGAGTGAGGAGTTTGGGAGAAACTAGACAGAGAGCAAGGCAGTGAGTGGAGCACAGAGAGACTTAGCAAAGGGAAAAGCAGGAGACAGGAATGAAGGGCAGTGTGACCCTGGAATGGGGAGCTTAGAGAGATTGGAACAGGTATGAGGTCCAGGTGTGAGAAAAATGGAATAAATGGCAACTGAACACCAACCCGCCTGATCGTCGTTCTTCCTTCGTCCATCCATGGGAACAGCCATCCCAGGTGGGGAAGCAGCTCGAGCACTGAGCGCGGGCGGAAAGAGTAAGCAGCCCAGGAGCCCAGCATCCCAAAAGGCACACTCCTGGGTGTTCCCGCAGAAGACATCATGTCCCCCAACTTTAAATTATACTCTAACGGTATACCAATTAAATCAGTGTTTTGTTGGAATAAAAGCACTGAGAACAGCAGAAGAAAACTAGAAGCCCAAAAATAAATCTTCAAGAAACATGAACTTATTTCACAACACAAGAACAGAGAGCATAAAATAAAGGGGGGGAAAGGCCTCTTCTGCTGATGGTTTAGGAAAAATTGGCTAGCCAAGTGCAAAAGAAATTGGACTGTATCTCTTATGCACAAAAGTTTATTCAAAATGGGTAACTTAGATGTTACAAACAAATCTATAAAAAACATCAAAGAAAACATAAACAGTCTATAATACTGACTTCAAGCACATCTTTCATGAATTGATTTCTTTTGCAAAGAAAAAAAATAAACAGGAACACATCAAACTAAAGTTTCCATACTAAAGAAGAAAATATTGCTAAGATTAAGACATTCTACTGAACAAGAGAAAATATTTAGACCTCATACACCTGATACAAGGAAAACTAAAGAACTAAAATAATTCAACAACAAAACAACAGCATCAATGGGAAAGTACAACTCCATAATTCCATATAAAAATAATTTCAAAAACAGTGTGTAAAACCTAAAACCATAATGTATATAGAAGATAAAAGAGATAAAATGTCCCATGACCTCAACACTTGAAATTTCTCTGGGAACAAAATCTTAACAAAGAGGAAAA